ACTCAGTAATTCAACTTTTTGCTTTACTTAAGCGTTTTCAAAAAGTCATTGATTTTCAACCAATTTCTCCAATAGAATTTTTTTCCAGTGACTACCTAAGTAAACGCGAGGCTGCGATAACTCATTAAGTGGCTCAACCTCTTGAGTGACCAGTCAAAAACCATTCTCTCTCCAATACCTTTGTCACTGGGCCCTGGAATGTCTTCACTCGCTACCTCCTCCTCAGGTTTGCAAGCTGTATCAAAGCAAAGTTATAAATTAGAATAAAGTATGAATGCCTTCAAGGTAATGTTTTGGATTAATGTCAAATATTATATGGACTCTTACTGTCACGAGTAGACTAAAACAACTCCTGTCAAATAAATTGTGAATCCGTCTACATAGTAAACTCATTGCTCGCTTTTAAACAAGCAAATTGGCCCAGTTAACCATCTGTCAAGCATATGAACAACACGTATAGTAAGCAGGAGTAAATACAACATATGTTAAACAATTCGGAGTTCAAAAGATAAATTCATTGCTTTTTACCTTCGCTAGTGGGCTTTCCGAGCGCAAGCTTACTTTTTCCCTCTTGCACTACACAAACAGGTTTTAAAAATATTGCATTAATAAAACCATATAAATTTGATTATTTGCATTCCATGAAACTATCGAGAATTCTGGGTGGGGCACCAGGGCCAGCACTCAACCTCAATTTTGAAGTAGTGTTTGAACAGTCAGCTATGAACTACTAGCACTTCTTAATATCTTTGTTGAAGGGCCTTTAATCTCAGTTATCACTATTTTGTCCGTTACCTCCTGTCCTGGATTAGTGCAATCAGTGCATACCCTTGACCTACATGCAACTGCCCGGTATTTTTTTAAAAGCAGTAATAATAATAATAATGATAATGACTAAAGATCAAGCTAGTACTCGCTTTCCCTTATAATTTTTGAACAACCTTGATATTATTATCAATAAAGATTTAGAAATGCAAAGACTAGCAAAAACCAACGATAAAAACCGACGTTTCGGTGTCATCATGACGCCATTGTCGAGGAGAAATAAAAAATAAAAAATAAAGTTTGTGGCGAGGTGTAACACTAAATATTACATAAAAATCATTCCGCTACAAGTTAGGTTTGTATTAATCTCCTTACCTTGAAATTGAATTCTTTTATATTTTGATAATAATATTATTTGCAAATTTCCGCTCACATTCTTATTCAAAAGGGTTCGGCGAATAGCTTCAATTTGCTTCAACATCCCTAATACATGGCTTGAAGATACTAACTTCCACAAATCGAACTGAAATAATGATTTCTTATTGGGTCGTCCTCCATTAAACTTTCTTTGTCCCCATTTCTGATTGCTTTTCGTACGCCTCAGGTGCAATAAATTTAGAACAAACTATTGAAAGGAAACTTGTTTGTCATTACACAATTTGTTAAACCTTGAAGTTTCTTTATTTCGAGGTGGGAAGCACCATCATTCTTGTCAAATTTGCTATTTTAATATTGGAAAACTGTACCTTCTTGATTTTGTCCTCTGCAGAAAATAGATTGAAGATTGGACCACAACCTCCCCAGTTTAGGTTTTAATATAGCTTGCACCTGTACATTTGAAATTTACGGAGAAGTTTGTGTAAGACTTTCGAATAATCTCTTTTAAATTTAGGTAGGTCTTTATGGTCATTGTTTATTACGTCAGTCGTCACAATTACAAAATTAAGTTGCCAGCCTGCTCTGACACGAAAGCAAATTCCAACATGGCAGTCATGTCCTATTTAAAAGTGATAAAAAATAAACCTGTTACCTGTGGAGTAGAAAGTGTATACAGCAATGGGTTGATAGCTGAATTGATCGGCAGAGCGAACACTGCAATCCACACTGCCAGATCGCCAGGTGGATCAAATGTTTTCTCGACGTGAGACTTGATGCCGATAGCAATGATTGGTATCCAACACAGGAAATCGGTCAGAATAATGAAGAAGACTCTTTTGGCAAGTGCTCTTTCTCTTTTGGCTTGCGCACTTTGTGCTCTTGCTTGTATTTCACGAACAGTTCCATGTGCACCGAGCCGTCTACTTGACGACCATGATTTCAACAAGATGGCAATATAAGCCACCATAATGAAGATGAAAAGAGATTT